TACTAAATTGAAATAAAATGTAAAAATCAGTTAATTTTAAATTTTTTTTCCACTGGCCCTAATCCTCTTCCGTAGATTTGTGTTAAAGATATATAAAAAAAAGTATTTGGGAATTTGTTATGTAAAACAAAAACGTAAATTTGGGTGAAATATTTTTCTGAGTGTTCTTCTTTCTTTAGGACCCATCCCACCATCTGTTTAAGCTCCTCCCACTAATTGTCTCTGAGGTTTTTGGACGGCCTCCATAGCATCGACCTTTGAGAAGCTTTGTAAATATTTATCAGATTTTAAGTCTGTATTTTCATTTAAGGTTTTCTCTGCATGATTCAGCAAAAGCTTCCCATAGCATGATGCTTCCGCCTCCGTATGTATCAGTTGGAAAGGTTTCCTCAGGCTTTGGATCCATCTGACATCTTGTCTCCGAAGGAAGCAGCTTGTTTGACGTTTTCTCCAGAAACGTAACAATCCCTGAAATCAACCCTGTCTGGTTTTTCCAAAACAGTTTAAAAGACATATCAACCTTTCTGTTTGTAAAGATTAGATTTTTAAGAGGACAATGAAAAAAAAAATCTAATTATTCAGTCATTTTGAAGAAAGGAATCAATTCAAAGCTCCTAATTGTGGAATCAGATAGGGAGCGAATCAGTTAGTTTGTCAGTAAATGTTTGCTTTAAATTCTGTATAAAAATATCTTTTCTTTTGGATCCTTTTCATTCTGTGTTTATCACAAAAGGAAGAGGACACACGGTCCGTCTGGCGTTTACAGAGGTCATGTATTTTTCATCACGTTTTGTCCCCTCTCTTCCACCAGGCTGGAGCAGGCCAGGCATGAGCGGCGCACACCTGGAGGAATGGCAGAGGAGGTCCTTTGACATTTCATCTGGCAGCTGCACACCTGAACAGAAGGCCGATGCCTACCGGGCCCACATCCTCTCCATTCAGTATGCATGGGCAAGCTCCCAGCTTTCTCCGGCCGGAGCGGCCAGCCTGCTCAGGACCTACTCGGAGCGCTACGCTGCGGTGCTGGACTCGGATGACCCCCAAACTGGGCTCAACAACTATGCAGAGGGAGCGCTCCATCTGGCCCGCAGTCAGAAGAACCACAGCGACAAATGGGAGTCGGCGCTCACCGCAGAGAGCGTGCTGCAGATCCCTTCAGTGCAGAGGATGATTCAGGCAGGTTCTGGAAGACAAAGCTCGCCGGTGGGCTCAGCGGATGCTAACATTCCTGTGGGAGAAGACAGCAGAGGTGATCGTCCCCCCGCCAGGTCAGAAGCAGCGTGGTTTACAGCAGCACGCTGCAGCTCTGAGGCCAGCAACGCTACAAACGCATCAGCAGATAAACCAAGAACTTTAGACGTTCGTCCTGCAGTCCGACCTCAGTCCATTTTCACTCATCCTTCCTCAGCTCCTCCTGGTCCTTCAGGAGGAGCACAGAACCATCAGTCCTCCTTCTTTCCCTCCTCAAACCCGTCCAAACGGAAGAATTTCTACAACCCAGACGAAAGCGACGGCGTGAAAGGTCAGTATGGAGGGCGAGGGGGAGCGGGACCCCGACCCGGCGGCAACTTTAAAACGGCCAGGGAGCAGTTCATCGTAGAGCAGCAGAAGAAACAGTCCTACCAGCCGCAGAGAGCCCACCCCCCCGGCATGGCGGCGGCCATGAAGAAATCTCTGGGTGCCAACAGGCCTCGAGGAGCCTCTTCCAAGTTCGTGTCGCCGATCCCCCGGCAGGAGGAGGAGGACGGCGCCGCTGGTAGGAACCCAAACGCTGAACCCCAAATCCTGGATGAGCGTCTGAAGAACTTTGAGCCGAAGATAGTGGAGCTGATCATGAGTGAGATCATGGATCACGGCCCTCCTGTTGCCTGGGACGACATCGCCGGCCTGGAGTTCGCTAAGACCACCATCAAGGAGATTGTGGTTTGGCCCATGCTGCGCCCGGACATCTTTACCGGTCTGCGTGGGCCCCCTAAAGGGATCCTGCTGTTTGGGCCCCCGGGGACGGGGAAAACGCTCATAGGAAAGTGCATCGCCTGCCAGTCGGGCGCCACCTTCTTCAGCATCAGCGCTTCGTCGCTCACGTCCAAGTGGGTGGGCGAGGGGGAGAAAATGGTCCGAGCCCTGTTCGCCATCGCCCGCTGCCACCAGCCGGCGGTGATTTTCATCGACGAAATCGACTCCTTACTGTCCCAGCGGACGGACGGCGAGCACGACTCGTCCCGCAGGATCAAGACGGAGTTCCTGGTCCAGTTGGACGGCGCCACCACGGCCGCCGACGACCGCATCCTGGTGGTCGGGGCCACCAACCGGCCCCAGGAGATCGACGAGGCTGCGCGGCGACGCCTGGCCAAACGCCTCTACATCCCGCTCCCGGAGGCGTCCGCCCGGCGGCAGATCGTGACCAACCTCATGGCGCGGGAGAAAAACCAGCTGCGGGATCAGGAGCTGGAGCTGGTGGTAACGGCCACGGACGGCTTCTCCGGCGCCGACATGACCCAGCTGTGCCGGGAAGCCGCCCTTGGACCCATACGCGGCATACGCCTCAGCGACATCGCCACCATCAGCGCGGATCAGGTGAGGCCGATTCTCTACGGCGACTTCCAGGAAGCCTTAAAGACGGTTCGACCGAGCGTTTCTGCTAAAGACCTGGAGCTGTACGAGGACTGGAACAAGACCTTCGGATGCGGACGCTGAATCTGACGAGCTCCAACCAAACATAAGGCTGCTAGCCCTGAAACACGCTAAGACACTAAAATATAACATAAAATAAAAATATATATAGAAAAAGAATAATCAAAATTGCTAAATTTTGTATTTGTAAAGACTTTACATGCAAAAAAACCTGATATTGTCTAGTTGGGCTTCCTGCTTTATCTCCCACTTATAACCAGCTGCTGTTTAGAAATATGGAAATAATTAGCTTGTCTTAGCAGGAAAAATGTAGTTTTTATTGTTTTCCTTACTTAGAGTAATAATCAGTATTCTCTCTCCCAACAATGTTCTATTTTCTATGATCTAGTTGTGGTCAACTGGCAGAAAATGTTTATGATTCCAATAAATAAGAGCTTAGTAACTTGGACTTTATCTTTTGTAATAAACTCAAACCGATGAATTGGGTTTGATTCCAGTTTTTGTTCAGTTTCCTGTTAAACAATCATTCCTTTAGGTCTTATTTATTTAAACAGCTGCTCTGTTTTGGAAATTTGTTCGAATATTTAACTTATATTTAGTGGGATTTACTGTTTGGATTCAGTGCCATGTTTTTTTTGGTTCGTTTTGTGACATTTTGTTTGCTCAGAACAGAAATATGTCTTTTAGATCCATGCAAAGTTTTTGATCCAGAATTAAAGTGTTCAAAGTTTCCAATGTGTTGCTTCTTGTTCCCAGCCCCTTATTTTGGAAAAACATCCACGTTATTTTAGTTTTTTTGCAGGGAAAATGTAGCACTAATCGATATTCCCTCCTCCAACGATTTTCTACTTTCTATTATCTACTGGAAGGAAATGTTTTTTAGTTTTTTTATGATATAAATAATAAATAGGAGCTTAGTTACTTCAAATAATTGTGAGATTAAAG